AGATGGGGATAGAACACACAGCCCCAGCTAAATCTTTCAGCTTGAAACAGACAGGTCCATAACCCAAGCTCCATATAGGATTCTGTTTGCCCACCCCAAAATCCACATTCCCAGCAGCCAAACACGTGCAGCAGTGACACTGATGTGTCCAAGCATGGTCATGCTGTGGATGGACACAGCCCTGGTGCTCTGCAGGACACGGGGAGGACAGTAGAGCTGCCATGGAGGGTTTCTATCTGGGAGCATCACAATGCTGCTCCTGCCAAAAGTACTCAAAGGAGAGCTGAGTGCTCCCTAAGGATTGTGGAGGTCCAGCTCTGCCAGGTCAGGGTCCTGGGTAGCTCTACAGAGGGATCCAGGTGCCAAACTCTGCCAAGTTCATGGAGAATGGATGCTGAGGTATGAAGTGTTTCAGGGAAGTGTTCATGCAGGATGTAGCAGGGAGGGTTTGAGGAAAGAAAACAGTGACGTGCCATGTACAGACCTCCTCCCTTCCCAGATGGAGAGGGACCCATCCACCATGGAGTGTGCTCCTCATGGCTCAGTCGGATCCAGACGGATGAAGTGGTGCCCTGCTTTGTACGAGGGTGAGTGACCCACAGAGGCCAGGCCTGAGGAGGAGGGAGTGAGACCCCTCACAGGGTGAGCTCTCTGCCCTCGATTGCTGTTGCAGTGGGAGAAAACAGGGCTGGGTTTGTGAGCAAATGGTTCCCCTTAGAGGGAAATTCTGCGCAAAATGTCACATCCTGGGATTTCACCTCATTTCCCACCCCTCACTCTCTGGGAGGTGTCTCAGCTGGCTGTGGGCAGAGGGAACACCCTGCTGGTGTTTAACTGGAGCTTTGCTGTGTGCAGTGCCCCCGGATTCCACCTGCCCCAGGACCCCCAGGTGCCCTGCATCCTCATCGGCCCCGGCACCGGCATCGCCCCCTTCCGCAGCTTCTGGCAGCAGCGGCTCTTCGACATCCAGCACAAAGGTGGGGCCGTCCTCTTCCTCACCTTACAGACAGTTTGGGTGGGACCAT